GAGCGAGCCCAGCCCAGGGTGGGAAGCCCACCCTTTTTCCCAGGCTTTGTGGTTCTCACTCTGCTTTGGGCCACTCAACCACCTTCCCGCCTTCCCACTCTGCCTACAGAAGCAGAACCACACTGCCCAGGGAACCCCACACCCCAGCTGGTCCCTCTGCATCTCAGAAGCACCCAAGTTCCTGTGGCCTTTTGACCCTCTCTGCAGCCCTAGGTGGGGAAGGAAGGGACCAGGTTGGGAGCCTAGAACCCCATCCCACCCTGAGGACAGTCAACCTGACAGGTCACAGCATCAGGGACTCCGAAGGAGTGCCAGAGTCCAGCCCTTCCATTGGCCCAAGGATGCAGCAAAGCAGTTCCCATGTGGGGCCCAGACCCTCGCTGGGGCTTCCAGCTGGACTCCTCCTTCCCCTGCCCTGAAATGATCCAGGACACGAGTGTGATATGGGTAGGGGGCCTCAGGCCAGCCCAAGTCTGCCCTCCTGCTCAGGGCTGGGCACAGCTCTCTGGCCCTAGGAATAGTTGTGACAACCTCAGAGGAAATATGATCCTATTGGAGCCTTGGCCAGGTCTGCCAGGCCTGCCAGGGCTCCCAGGAGCACCCCCTCCCAGCCTCCCTGCTGGGCCCAGGCCTAATCCAGCTTAGCACACCACACAGCCCAGCTCAGCGTTTCAGGGCGGAGAGCCAGGCTGGGCCCTGCCTCTCTCCACAGCACGGCCAGGATGGGGCACGGAGAGGGCCGCCAGCAACAGAGACAACCCTGGGAGTTGGGGGTGAACACCAGGTGGGTGCATTGGGGGTGCAGGGGGCAGTCAGGCTGTAGTCCATGGAGTGGCCAGGGCAGTTCGTGTGCTACAGGTGTCCCTGACCAGTGGCAGAGGCCCTGGTTCCAACCACGTAAGCCCCCGGTGTTGGGGGACAGCAGCCCGTTCCCTGCTGCCACTTCAGGTGACATGCCATTCTGTGATCTATGTGTGCCCAGCCTTGTCTCACAGGACTGAAGGGGACCCCAGCTGCTGCGGGGGATTTGACTGTCTCCCTGCCACGCTGCCAGTCAGCCCTGCTGGGCAAAGGTCACACACAACCAGGTTTTGGCCAGCCGCCCTGGCCCTGTGGGCAAGGTCCTCAGCTTGGTGAGGGAGGGTAGCAGGAGGCGGCCTGAGGCCATTCTGGGCCTGCTGCCTGCACAGGACTAGTCCCAGACATCCCTATTCGGGCATCTAAGAGCCCAGCTCCACCCCAGGAGTCAGGTCTCCCAGGCCTACCTCGAGGTCTCTAAACCACACCGTGGCCAGTAACTGCAGCCCCACACTCGCGGGGCACCTCACAGACTCGTCATTTGTAAACTCAAAATAGCCCCACCTCCCTTCCCCAGCCAGGATGCAGGCCCTCCTGTCCACAGGACCCTGTTAAGGACATGCGATAAGGAGCTTTCCCTCCCTCCCCGGGAAGGGCTCTCCTGCCGCCCCAACCCGTGCAGGGTCACCTGTCAGCACAAATCCGTGCTTAGGTGGCGCGGGCAGAGACCAGCACCCAGACCTTTGGGAGGGTGGGGAGGGTCCTAAGCTTGCGGTTAGGCTACACCTCCTCCCTGGAGCCTGCGGCCCTCACAAGGGAGGACTGCTGGGAACCCTCAAAGGGTTTCCCCATTTGTCTCATGGGGATGACCCCACCCCTCCCACTTTGAGGATTTTGCTGGCTGAGCCGGGACCGGCAGCCCATGAGTGCAGGTTCTGCCGGACGGCCCTGTTGCGTATCGCAGGGCAGGCACGGGCACGGAGTGGCTCATGGGCGGAACCCAGGTCTTCCGAGTCCTGGTAGTGACCTCTCCACTGCACTTTGCTGGTGTCCGTGGGCAGGTTGTGCTGTCTCCAGACCCCGTTTCCACATTTTTCAGGTGGGGGAGCATCCTCGCCTTCCCCACCCTGCATGGGTGCTGGGGGGGGGGGTTGGTGACAGTGGAGGAAGGGACCGAGGGAGGGCTTGTTAAAGGAGCAACGTGCCTGGGACGGGCTGGGGACCCCTCCCAGCAAACCAGCGGCCACCAGGGCTCAGGCTCTCCCAGTGGGTGAGCGAGCCAGCTGAGCCCAAGCAGGGTGGGATACGCTGGAGAAGCAGGCAGTCGCTGGAGAAGCCAGCCAGATCAGTCGTGCGGCGGCCTGAGGCCCAGCCAGGTGCTTTCCTGGGGAAGAGACCCGAGAGGGGTCTGAGATCAGTGGGACTTGGCAGTCGAAGGCGCGAGCAAAGGTGCCCGTGCCCGTGCAGATGTGGGCGTGACCGTCTGCCCGGGTCCTCCTGCCATCTTGGAGATGGGGCAGCATTGTCCCTGTCACGTGAGGGCCTGTGTGTCTGTCTCCCTCCCGGACACTCCTCTCTGGCCCTCAGGGCAGGCAGTGTGCCACCCGTGTTCTGGGCTGGCTGGGGCAGCCAGGATCGAGAAGGGTGGGCGGGGGGGTGGGGGCAGCTGGACACCACTGAGGGGCACGGGCCAAGGACGTGTCCCTTTCTTTTGGGGTAAAGAAGATGTCCAGAAATGTAGACACAGGTCCACAGGTCCCTGGCTTGGACCTCACTGCCCCCCAGGGATGGCGGAGGCTGGCCCTTCCTCTCCACCATGACAGGGTCAGAATGACTGACCCCGGCTCCATCAGAGAGTGGCAAAGCCACCACGGCTCTGGGAAGCCAGACAAGCCGTGGCCGTGGCCACAATTCGCACAGGGACCTTCAGAGTGGGGGTCCGTGGAGGTATCTCGGTGGAAAGCTCCAGTCCCCTTTCTCCTACCAGAGGAGACTTGTTCTGCTGTGCCAGGCAGTGTGGCAGACCACGGCTTTCCTCCCTGTGTGCCAAAACCCAGGACTGGCCCAAGCTGCCAGACTGCCTTATGTCTGAGCGAGGGCAGGGGTTGGTGCCAAACCTTAGACCTCACATGGTGAGGATGTGACAGCGGAGAGCTTGGGTGGCTGCTGGGAGGCAGTGTGTCAGCAGTGATGCCCCAGGATCGGTGGCCGTGGCAAGCTGACCAGGGTGGGTGCTGGCCCCTGCACTGGCTCTGAGAAGGCCAGGGTCCCTGTGACCTCATGGAGGCTGGAGGAGGCAGCGAACCTGTTTCTGCTGGCCCCTGGCAAAGGAGAGACTAGATGCATGCCGGCCTTCCTCCCTGGCCTGTGAGGGGTAGGGCAGGGGCAGCAGCCTGCGGAGTCCAGCTCACGGCCACTCTCCCGCCCAGGCCTGCAGGGACTTCCTGGAACTAGCAGAGCTCCACAGCCGGAAATGGCAGCGGGCACTGCAGTATGAGCAAGAGCAGCGTGTGCACCTGGAGGAGACCATCGAGCAGCTGGCCAAGCAGCACAACAGCCTCGAGCGGGCCTTCCGCAGCGCCCCTGGCCGAGCCACCAACCCTCCCAAGAGCTTCAGCGAGGGTGAGTGGCAGGGCCAGCCCGGCTGGTCCAGCGCTCAGCCCGCAGCCTCCCTGTGTGCCGGCCGCCCCTGGTGCACCTGCCTCTCATACACATAACCTGAGCAGGCCCACATCTGGCCTCGCCTTGCCCAACCCCGGCCTGCCTCTCATGGCCTCCTGTGGCCATGCCTATCATCAGCTGGCAATAAGCTCCCTGTACCCAGGTTCAGATTCTTGGAAGGAAAAGTTCAGTGAACCGAGCTGTCCCCTCTGTGCCAGAGCTTTCTAGGTACCAGTGGTCACCCACCTAACCTCGGGCTGGGGTCACAGGTATCCTGGGCAAGGGGGACAGCTTCCAAGTGGTGTCTGAGCCAGACTAGAACAGTACATTGGTGAGAAGAGAGCACGTTATTCCAGCAGAGGAGCAAGGGCAGCCCCAGTCCAGGGTCTTGGCGGCCGAGTGAATGAAGCAGGG